AAAACCAGGGAGCATGTGGATTTGTATTTTCTCTGGGCAACACAGCTGCCACCCAGTAAATCAGGGCAAGGGGTAGGATGGCATTAGCTAGGCATACCTTACCCCATGCAGCTCTAACCTTCCCTGGTCCTTCCTGGCATAACAGATAACTCTGTAAAATAAAATTTAAAAGTTCCTTCACTAGAAAAAACACTAGCTAAACTCCAAGGCTACAACTCCCGAGAGCGCATGCAGGGACCTGCTACCCGCTCGACCCTGGCTCTAGCTTTCATACAATTCCTCTTGTCTTTGCAGAAACCAGAGTACGATGCAGCGCTCGTAGGGGCAGTGCGCCTGGTGTCCGTGCTAATTGCTGCTGTCTCCATGGACAAAGCTGGGAGGAAGATTCTTCTCTTCGTCTCTGGTAAATCCTGGATTAAACAGAGGTTTTCCTGCAAGGGTTTCAAAGCCCTCAGCAAGTATTAATTATTTCAGCTATGCATTGCTCCAGGGCATGTTTCTTCTGGAGCTCAGGAGAGGAATGAGAGGGTGGCACAAATGCAGCGGTGGGCCTGTCTCTGGGGCTCAGCCATGTGGAAATGGGGAGAAATCGCTCTGCAGAAGTTAAAGGAGCTGTGCTGGGGGGTACACGAGGGAGAATTGGGCCCTGACCTCTCTGCTTCCTATTTCTTTTATAATGTCTGCCAACAGCTGCGGTTATGTTTGCCTCCAACATGACCCTGGGACTGTACATCCACTTTGTGTCACCGCCCTCCACCAACCACACTCATAATGGGACTGTAGCAGGCCCCGAGACCCTCGCTGCAGAGCCATCGAACCTCCTCACTCTCATCCCCCTCGTGGCTACCATGTTCTTCATAATGGGTATGTCTGAACCTCATGGTGCATATGTTCCCTGGTGCAGCATCTATTCCTCTGCCTTGGGGTCACTGGTCCAGGACTATCCTGGTGTGATACCCGAGATCCCACACGGGGGTGAAGCAGGAGGGAAGTGCTTCTCGGGGAGGTGGCTTGAGACTCATGGTACCTAAAACTGGCCACAGGGAAGGGATGTTGGAAGGGATGGGGCGAGGGTGGATTCATGGGCAGGGGCATGGGATGAAGGCCACATAAATATTGCCAGCCTAGAGGGACTATTGACTGTTTGCAGGTCTCGCTGTCAGGAGCACTGGATGGGGAGTTCAGGTGAATCCCTTGTTCTTCAGTGCCAGCAGGGCTTTATTATCAGGTCAAAATTGAGGCATGGGCATTTGCAGCCCACGGGGACCCTCTTCCCTACTCCCTGATGGTGGCTTTAGGTCTGTCACAGTGCCCTCAATTTTGCCACCCATCCAACCTTCCCCCTTTTTGTCCTTTTCAGGTTATGCCATGGGCTGGGGCCCCATCACCTGGTTGCTGATGTCGGAGATCCTCCCTCTGAAGGCCCGTGGGGTAGCATCGGGTCTCTGTGTCGTCGTGAGCTGGCTCACCGCCTTCGGGCTTGCCCGATGCTTCTTGCCAGTTGTGGTGGGTATTGTTTAGTGGCAGCAGCAACTGCAGGGGAGGGGGCTTGGTCTGAGGAAAGGCTTCAAGGTTCAGCTTAGGGACTTTTTTTTCTTTCACCTTCCAAACAAGAAGGCAGCCACCCCACAAGGCAACTTTGCACAGCCAGCCCTCCCTGCTAGGAACCACCATGCAGTGCTAGCAGTGTTGCTAACTCTGCTTTATCATGAGTCTCGGGAGATTTTGGTGGCTCTTTCTTTGCAAGACCCAGCTCCCAGAGCCTCCTTGCCTCGGGAATTTCTACTTTTGCTTAAAGGAAAAAAAAAAAAAAATACACTTCCAGCCCTACTGGTTATAGAGAAAAGCTTAAACATGCGGCCCAAGGGTAGTCAGAGGGCTGGATTGGGACATACTAAGAACTGTACATCTAGAGTCACTTTTAAACCCCCAAAAATGTCAATGGGTTGTTGGCATAAGACACCCACTGATCTGACATCCAGACAGAGGAATAACCGTGTGCTGTCCTGTTGAACAGGAAGGGGAAGCCCCCGGTCGCACTATAGAGAACCTCTGCCGGACCCTTGGCCCAGTGGTGTATTCATAGGGCCACGTACCACCCAAAACTCCCAGCATTCATGAAACCAGCCTCGCCTTCCCTGTTTTATAGAGGGGAAACTCCCCTACTTCCAGGGGAAGCAACTCAGGCTGGCCCACAAGTTAGTAGCAGTAGAAAGCAACCCCACAGCTCCTGCCTCCTTGCCCACAAGTTCCTCTTCCCCTCCATACAAGCTCTCAGGAAGTGGAGACACAGAAAGGACTCTACCTACCACTTCCTTTCCTTCGTCCCTACTGCAAGATTTTGCTAACGCTTCCTTAACTGCCGTCTCTGCCCCTGCTAATAACATCCCTGTTCTGCCTTTCAGGAGGCCTTTGGCCTTGAGGTGCCGTTCCTGTTCTTTGCCTTCATCAGCGTGATGAACCTCATCTTTACAGGCTGCTGTGTGCCAGAGACCAAAGGCAGGTCCCTGGAGCAAATTGAATCCTATTTCAGGACTGGGCGAAGATCGTTTATGAATTAGGTTAGCTGAGACTTGGTGGCTCCTAGCATCCAGCGTGCACAGGAGCAAGAACATCCTTTTGTGTGCAACTGGGAGCTTTCTCCTTGCCACAAGGCTTGCTTTCCAGGATGGTTTGGGCTACACGGTGCGCACAGAGGTGCTGTTGGTGGTGGCCTGTCCTTGGATGAAACGATTGTCTTTTGGGGAATCATGTGCTGGCATCTCCACTTCCCTTCCTCCCGAGTCGGTGAACACTAGCCTAATAACTTGCTGCTCTCCAGACAGAATATTAACTAGCTGGACTTCACCCTGCACTGTTGATTTTTTTTTTTTAACCTTGATCACAAAGCTCCCCCCAGCACGGCACTTGACAAAAGGGACTCTTCACTGTGAAACACATGCTGTGACCCAGAGAGAAACTGCACTTTTTTTTTTTACCCTGGCTTTTCAGAATAAAGCCACGCACAGGAACAGAAGCATTTAATGCAGGTGTTACAGGGGTGGCCACTGTTTTGGTTAAAACTGGCAACAGCCCAGTATGCAGTTAGAAAAATAAAGAGGTTTGGCCCCTAATGCCTTGCAGGGGAAATGAGATGGTGCTGTCAGTGGGAGGAAAAGGATGTAAAACACTTGAAGTGGTGCTCTGGGGTGAGGCAGTGGGGACCAGGATGCCACAAGCCAAGGGCCTACTCCCAGATGTCATGCATGCACGGTGACTTCAAGCAAGGCAGAGAGAAGGTTTTAAATATAAAGATCTGTCTTGTTTTAATATGAAGATGCATGTTACCCCTACGGGCATGAGTGAGGCCTAGTGCAGTTCCCACAGCAAGCAGCCTCTTGCCAGAACAAAGAAAGGGGATGGAGACATGCAGTGCTAGAGCCCCACACCCATCAGAGGAAGATGGGAGGGATGCAGACAGTGCTTCCTCTGCAATGAGAAGCAGGCTTTTCCCTGCTCAGGGCCTGGTCTAACACAACAGGCCTGCTGGGAACTGATAGTCTTCCCATGCACAGCAAGGGAAGGAGGCAGAGGGAAGCAATGCAAAGAGCAGGCTCCCCTCCCTTGAGACTTCAGCTGTAAAATGTGTTGCAAGTTCTCCCTCCCTCCTTAGCAGTATCCCATTAGGTCCACGCCAGATCCAGGTCTTGCCACAGAGCTAACCCTGTAAAAGGTTTGAACGCAGGGCTGACTTTGTTAGAGCGCATCCCAGCCCAGCCAGGCTGGAGCTCTTAACACAGTACCAAAGCCCAGGGTTTGGACAGAGGAGTCCAAGCACTTGCTCAGCCCCTGAAGGAAAGCTATGATGCCAGATGCATCTCGGACGGGCCGGGTCCTTCCCACTGTCAATGAATCTCATTTCGTTGCAACTTGGAGGAGTGGAATGAGCTTGAAGCCTGGTGGATTGGGGCTGGATCTCAGGAAATGGCTCCTAATGCTCAGATCTCCTGCACTAGTCTGGAGCCCAGTCCTTCAAGGGGAGCAGTAGAAATCACATCACATGCTATCTTGAATGGGGGGGTGAGGCAAAGGAAGGGAGGCAGAGATGAGGCAAACCTCAACCTGTAGTCTATACATCCCCAACTCTAGCTCCAGATACCAACTTGGTAGCTGGAGCCTAAATCAAGGGGGAATTGCATCCACGTATGGCTGGGGCTTTCCTGATCATGGTCTAAAGCTGCAGGGATCTGAGGAAGAGAGGTCGGGAGACCCAGCAGCTTGGGTAGCCCTGTCTGTAGCCTTTCCCATCCCTAGTGGGTAGGGACCAAATCACTACTCAGATGCCACTGGTGCTGAAGCCAGAAGGACAAAGTAAAGACCAGGACCCTAGGGATGAGGCTAAAGAGTTACAGAAGCAGATGAGGATGTTGAGCTGGACTAGAAGATGTTAGGAAAAGCAGCGAGGAAAAGTATTTTGTTTTCCCCATTCCCTCAGAGTCCATTTTCCTTTGCGAGTAAGCAAGGAGTCCCAGAAACCACAGCAGCTCTTTGCAGAGGTAGAATGGTCTTTTATTCACTGCATACACAAAGAGTCAATGAAAGTAGTCATACAAAAAACCAGCGCTCGCCGCCTCCCGCAGCAGCGAGGCCTGGGTGCACAGTATAAACAAAGCTTTGATTCTTCCCTTAACGCCCAGAGCAACAGGATCCCAGTGAAAGTTATGAGTATGGGGCTGTTATCTCCCACGGAAGAGGACGAGGAGGGGAGGAGTCGCTCAACCGTTTCTGCTGCGCTCTTGGCAGTCGATTTGCTTCCATCTTTCCAACGACTCTCCCCTTCTAGGACCTCACTCGGAGAGGACTTTCCAGCAGTGACCCCCGTGCCCAGAACGCAGCAATCCCATTTCTGTAGAGAGGCACTAAAGCATACGTCCCCTCGACTTACCCAACAACCGTGGGGAGTGGGTCAACCTGGGAGCTCCCTGGAATAGGGACTGTAACTTCATCTATGCCTGTACAGCTCCAAGCACGCTGATGGTGCTCACAAGCAAAATGAATCATTGCTAAACCCTGCAAATGGCGCTACTAACTACTGCAGTGATCCTATTTTAAAGGTCTCATCTACGCCCACAGAAGTAATCTCTTGTTCATGCTGAGATCGGCTTATCTCCCTCCAGCTACAGTAGATGGGGTAGCTCTTAAAAGCTGTTTACACTGCACAGCTAATTCAGCAGTGAAGGGAGGCAGGTGTGAATGTGGTTCTTAGTCTACCAACGTGGTAGCAGATAGCACGGTTTCACCTGCAGCGTGGAGAGGTTTTAGCGTTTCTGAGAGGCTGTTGATCTTGGGTGCCCCTTCAAGATATAAACTCCATTGACTTCATGGCCAACGTGCATGTTCAACTTCTCTGGAAATAGGGTCCGGGCTCTCTCCAGTCAGACCCATCTCAAGGAAATCCCTGCATTTAGACACACTTGAAAATTCAACTTTGTTTTTAAAGAAGCCGTGTTAAAGCTCCAACTGAGCCAAGCATGGGCCTATCTGAGTCCGCTGTCCGTTGATGTTAGCAGGTACTGAAGCACATCATGGACATGAGGCCTGACCTCAGAGGCTGAGACTCAACGTACCGGGAGGGTTGAGACCGCTCAGTCTTTTTCCCTGTGGGCATCAAGGGGAGCTTTGCCATTGATGCTCGTGGAAGCAGGCTCAGACAGCAGTGCAAGACACTGCTTGCAGTAGGAATGCACAAAGACCAAGAAGTGCTCCAATATTATTGGAAGGGGGCCATCCCTTCTCAGAGGCCAACGGGAATCTAGGTGCAGCAACGCAAGAGAGGACCTTAATATTGCATGCAGTTACTTCCGTGGGTGTAGATCGGACTCCGCCACACTACTCACAGACCTACACAACCACCACCAAAGACATGCCAGCAACTATGCGCTTACTCCCATCTCTTTCTACTCACTACTATTCTGACACAAAACCCCATAGAAATCAAGAGTGCATCCATCCCATTGAGTCCATGGGACATTACATGCTTTTTTTACAATGCATAGGGACACTGCAGCTCACAGAGGAGGGCTGTTGTCACATAAGAGACTCCACCATTAGTCTCATCCTGAGGTATCCTTTAAACGGAGTGACTTTGTATTATAAGGCCCTGCACAGTCCCATTGACAAGGGTGCTGTGCTACCTATGAACACAAACCCTGTGAAAAGCCAATGCACCCCATGCAACGAGCTGCAGGGTGAAGTGACCAGCATCAACACAGAGCCAGGGGCTCAGAACTGGCAGACCGCTTGTTAAGACAAGTTGCATCTGGATTGACGGTCCATAGACCAGGCTTCAAGTAAGCGGGTGTTCAAGTAAGCATGGTACACAGTCCCCCGGGGAAAGGAATTTACAACAGAATAGCTACTTAAAGGATCAGCTGCAGGGAGTGTGTGGTGTGTGTGTATTTGTGGTGTGTCTCATGGACTAGCTCCCCAGCTGGGGTAACCCATCTCTCCTCCTCTGTCTTTCATAAAGCAACACCATTTACACCAACTGAATAATTAGCCCAGTCACCTCTTGCTCTATAATGCACACACTGAAGCTTCCCAGGAAAACAACAATAATAGCACTCCGCTTTTCCTCTTAAGGGCTACATCCTTCCACCACTAGCACAGGGCCCAGTCCGACTGCCGTGGAAGTCGATAGGAATTATGTTACCACCTTGTATGACACTGGGATCCACCGTCACATCTGAACAAGGCTAACATGGTTTCAACCACACCAGGGATGCAGTGTAACCATCTAAAACACCATCTTGAGAGAAAAAACATCGCTGTCTGGATTGTGTCAAACTCTCTACTAGTGTATTCATCCTTCTCAGACCTGCAGCACCCCAACCTAACGACTGAAAGAATATTTCAGGGAATCTTCTTCATTACAGTAGCGAGGACCTTCCCATTGGGCCCAGAGACACCCAAAATGAGATGAACCATCCCCTGGCACTGTAGTCCTATCCACAGTTCAAGGCATTTTTCTCTCTGTCTTGGGAGAATGAGTCCCCTTGGAAATGTTTCATTCAAAAATACATTATTCCAAATCCAGACAAAGTGTAAGACTAAATAACTCCAAAGTAAACCTGAAGTTAAGGAAACCAGGGACATGGGGAGAGCACAGTGATCAGTGTTGAGAAGACAGGGAGCCGGACTTTGGGACCAATTTGGATCATTCAGAAAGTTGAAAACACTGAGGGCACAGTTTGTGTAACCTGGCATAAAGCAGCACCAGGCCTGAAATCCAGGACAACGCTGCTTCACTCTGTCCTGAAGTCAATAAGAGTTTGAGAGGTAGTTTGGCTGTGTTAGTCTGAAGTCAGATAGAAGGCAGGGTAGATATGCACCTTACAGACTAACTGAATAGTTAATAAATACATCTGATGAAGCAAGCTGCTGCTTACAAAAGCTTAGGCTATACACCTCTGATTTTGTTAGCCCAGGAAGTCCAAATCAACCCTCCTTCTACCACTAAGAGTTTTGCCGTCACAGCCCGTGTTCCCAAGAAAGTAGGTAAAACGCAGGGCAATAACCAAATGGCATTTTTTACCCAGACTAAAATGCAGCTGCCTCTGGGGTCATCTGTTGCAGCTGTCCTAGCAGCACACAGCAGCTCAGTAAAGCAGTTTAAGACAGAAGTGCTGAGTGGCTGAATTGCTCAGCCACACTGGTAAACTGTGCAAGACCCCTGAAGTGTGCTGTAGGGTTGCAGGTTGAAAAACCCACTAGGATGTGAGGGTGCCTTACCCTTCTGGGAGCGACGGGGCTCATTTTGCCCTCAGCTAAATTGCTGTAACTCCAGAGTAACTTCAGTAAACTCAGGATTATTCTAGGGTGGCAGGGATTAAAACGTGGGCACCAGGGCTAGTGTTATCTTGTGATTTGCTTCGTATCCAGTGGCTCTCAGACAAGAAGAGCCCTTTACTTTCACAGTTTAAAACAGAATCCAGAGATCACTGAGCACAATGTTAGACACAACAGCTGCAAGCAGAGAGCTACATCTATCTGGAACTGTTGGAGGGCCCATTCATGTTCGCAGTCTCTTTAATGGGGCCACAGCATGGGCTATAAAAGAGTCATCTGGAAAACAACGGGAGCTGGGGTGGCCTGTCAGCTTCTGTGCTGCTGGGTGTAATGCACCTGGCTCTAGGGGAACGGGAGAACGCAACAGCTGGCCATTCTACTCTCTCTAAAACCGGAGATGGGCAGGATACAGGGGCGTGCGAGTGTGTGCATGCATGTGTGCACGGGTGTCAGAGGGTCCCAGGAAGACGACAAATTCCACCATGTAAAACAAACTGGTTCATCTTGCAGAACTGTAAACAAGCCTCACCAAAAGGATGCAGCATAGAAAGCTTCCCAGACCTGATCCATCCCTTGTTTGCAAGGGAGAAAAATAACCGTGGAGGGATGCCAGCGACCTGCTTCTCTGGCCTGTGCCCAAGTGCTAATGCTGGTGCCAGGCAGAGGAAAAGAGCAGGCCCCACATTCAGAGGTCCAGACTGCATGGGCAGGGAGGGGGATGCAGAGCACCAGGAAAACGCAAGACCCCAAGTCAGAATCAGGGCACATGAGCTAGGGGACTGCCTTCCTCCCTGCTCCTGTATGTCACATGTGACTGGCAGGGCTAGAAAAACCCTGCTTTGCTCAGACTGTGTGCCCCTCCATCTCTGCTGGGGCCTAGACATCCCTCACCCATAGAAGGATGAGTGGTAATAAGTTAAAAAAAAAAAAACCCTTATAAAACAAACTGAGCAAGTGATGTATTTCAAGTCCACTTCAAAAAGTAGCCATCACCTGTGGTTATATTTCAAAGGATGTGGAAGTTGTGCTTTACAAGGAGTGGGACCAGATCCAAAACCCATTGGTAATGAATGACATTCCCCTGCATTAGCTTCTTCAGGCTCTGGATCCAGTCTATGGAGAGTCTGTTATTGCCTTAAATTACTTTGTTATTTGCTGTAAGAGTCTCTTTCTACACGGCATGAATTCCTGTCCTAACAGGCCCTAATATAACCCCAACCCCACAACCCACCCCCTACTCTAAGGATCAACTAGTGTTATCAATTAAAATTCATTCAGGCATCAGCATCATATTATTAAATACTAACTTAATATATTACAGTCTTAAACACCTGTACCAGAGAGCATCACTGAAGGCCTGCAATGCACAAAACACCTGACCAGAACTCCGTCTGGGTCAGAGGCCCACCTCCCACTGACTTCAGTGGGACCTGGAACTGGTACCATAGTTCCCACAGAGAAAGGGGAAAGCAACTGGCTTAGGAGGCGAAGTACTTGTCCAGTGTTTCTAACTCACCTTCCAAATCAAGGCAGCCACAATGTGGGTCTAGTAAGCCCCTGGAATTGACACCATCACTCTTCAACCAATTCCCAAAGCAAAATCATGGCCTGCAACGTGCTATCCAGCAAACACTCCATGGTACATCACGGCAGCCAGGGCTAACCCCGCACCCTTGCTGAGAAAGGATACGTACCATTGGCTTCTCAAGCAGTACTCGAACTGAGAGTTAGTCACCCCTCTGTGCAAAAAGGGGTGTTGAGCTATTTGGTTCTGGGTATAACCTCTAACTGGGCAGAGCAGCTAACAACATGATAGACCATCTTCCTGTTGCAATGTGCAATACTCACAGCCTTGCGTCCTTCTACTTGGGATGATCTCAAGTCTGCTTGGGAAGGGAGGGAATGCCCCTATGGCCCCTGAGAGCTCCAGTTGCCACAGTGTTTGACAAGGTCACAGAGGAATAGAAAGGAGAGAGGTCAGTTTAACGTCCCAGCAGATTTCTACGTCTTTTTAAGAGGTTACCCAAACCCGTGCGTCCAAAAGGGAATTTCACAGTGCCTGAGGCTCTATGGTTCCTGTTAGCTTCTCCTCATCCATCTGCTTCTGCTGTTGCTGAATTCTGGCGTAGGAAATGGCATCTCCCCTGCAGAGAAAGGGAATGGCATTACGGTGTGAATGCTGCCCAGCAAAGATTGCACATGCACTGCATCTAGCACAGGGAATCCCTGGTCTAGACTGCGGTGTCTCTGTGCTACTGGAATACAAAGAGTAAGCTACTATCACACTGGGAAATCTCCTGGGTCAACAAGGCACAAGTCCTTCCTTCCACGTCCATCAGATCAATGCAAGGTTGGCATCAATGATGTCTGAGGAACTGCAGAGTACAAGCAATCTGATGGAGAAGTGATCTGCACAGGTCCCATGGGAGAGGACTAAGTGACTTGGTCAAGGTCACTCCGGATGTCAGTGGCAGAATAAGTCATTGAACCTCAGTCTCCCCGGTTCCAAAGCAGCACCTTTAGCACTGGACCATCCTTCCTCCCCCACAACACAGCAACGTAACAAGAGTGGGAACTGAGAGTAAAAGCAAGTGCCTCTTACTGGCTCTTTCAGAACCTGAGCCTATTCCCAATAACATCACTGGGAATTTTGCCTGATCTAAACAGATACAGAGCTACAACTTGCTGTCATCTCTGCCATAGCAAGTCAGAGCCAAATCTAGTCTTATGATCAACAAAAAAAAACACTCCCAAAGACTTAACAAATCCTGGGATCACTAGAAAGACTCCAATTAAGAAAGGATTTCCATTTTATTCCAGTGGGAATGTCTTTTCCTGCTAGGATCTGGACGTTCCCCAGCAGCACCTACTGCCCCAGTACTCGGTTGCTGCACAAGGTTTGGAGAACGAATCTGGTTTGAAACAGTCAAGTGGTGGTGACTGGGATTTGCTTTGGCCAAGGGAAGCCACAGAGCAAAGGCAAGAAACCAGCCATGAGAGAGCTGCAAAATTCTGTGCAAGGGTACAAGGATTTGTTGGTAGGTAATACGAGCACAGGGTTTTTTTAAATATACACATAGGGTATATTCTGTACATGTGAGAATACACACACGCACACACACACGATTTTTAACCTGACACCCCCAATCTGAAACCTGACAAGTGTCCGTGTAGGAGCTTCCTGACACACACTGGGAAAACCTCCCATCAATAGGCAGCAGGCTCGGCAGTGTGATCTTAGGATGCCCTGACAAAGGCTCCTAGATAGTGCTAATAAACAAGGTAGCCTTTATTTTTTAGATTGGTCTTTCTTTGAACCACACTGTGCACTAAAATGCCTCTCAGCCCAGGGCTCTCCCAAACCCTGGGTGCTTGCCGGAGGCAGTCATCATCATCACATATCACACGGTCCCAGCAAGCTGATTCCTGGCCTCCTCATTCGCCAGCTCCCCTGTAAGAAGAAAAGAGCACTTGTTCTTACTTTTTGCCGAGTGCCGACAGGCCGTACAGCACCCCCGTCGCAAAGGCAATCGCATTTCCCAGCAACGTGGTCAGCGTGAGGCTGAGTATGACTGGGAACACGGCCATCCTGGGGACAGAAAGACAAGGTCAGACCCCAAAACAACTCCTTCTCACCTCTGCGGCATCCCCTCTGCACCTAGAGAGTGGCTGCAGGTCTTCATCCCAAAGGAAACACGCTCAGTGATGGCCTGAACTAACCACTGGATTCTGCTTTGGCCCGCTCACAAGAACAGGCAGGACCACGATCCCAGTGCCATGCGCTACCCGGCCCTGCGGGGCTAGCACCAACTGGCAACACCGCTCCTCACTGGGTCCATGGGAAAACCAGGGACAATGCAGCATCTCCCTGATGCACAAGGACTTCCCAGGGCTGGGGCAGTACCTCACTGCCCTATACTTTTCTTGAAGGACCAACCCAGCCCTTAACACATCTCAGCTTCACTCAGAGAGAGCCCATTGGCCAAGTTGTAACCTTTCTGGGGCAGGTATCATGTTGGTACATGTTGGCCCTGCCCGAGTAGGGTCCTTGAGCCCAATAACATTAACACAGTGAGTTAAGTCTGAGCAAGAGCAGCATCAGGCCCCCATCTCCACGAAACCAGGCACTGCTGCCCAGCCCGTAGGATGCACGCGCCCATCCTCACCCGCAGTAGAAGGCAGCTTTCTGCCAGGGCCGCAGCCGATCTGCCCGTGCAGACACTGCGTTTGCAAACTCCACAAACTGGCAGCAGAAAGGAACTTCACACAGGAACAGGACAAATGCGTTTAACCTTCAAAGCAAACCAGAAGAGAGTTAACCCTATCACCAGGTGCCAGAGAGGAGTCAGCTCCCCGCAGGAGGAATGTGGTCACAATCCCCAGGCACACACAGCCAACAACAGTGGCAGCTCAGGCCCCGCACAGTGAAACAACATTTTTATTAGGGAGCTAGATTATATCTCAGCACTCGTAGCCAAGGACTAGCTTTGCTAGCTACTTAGATCACCCCTTTTATGCAACGAATCCCCAAGTGCAGAGAGCAAGCACCCTGCACTCCAGCCATCCCAGCCAGGAGACTCCAGGTGGGGTAAGTTAGACCCACCTTTGTTGCCATCTCCCCAACCAGGTACATGGGGTACAAGGCTGGCAGGGCTGAGAACCAAGCTCAGAGCCAACAGCCAGCTTGGGCATAAACGTCAGGGTAAGTTGCACACGGGGCAGAGGTTGGCCAAATCGGGTTGGAAATGCCAGCACCGAGCTATCTGCCCTTGAAGCATAAAGCCATTGTGGGCAGGTGCTAAATGGTGCTAAAAACCAACAGTCCTGCAGCGGGGAAGGAAGGAGGAGTCTACTTACATCATCCACACCCCGGCGGCGATGTTCAGGGGGTTGATGGTCACGCAGTTCCAGAGGCCGGCAAGCGCGCAGGCTTGAAAGCGAAGAAATTAATTCCAATTAACACGAAAACTGAAGCACTGAGGACACAGAGGCGACAGTGTGGTTTAGCACATCCACCACAAGACAGGCAGACAGGAGAATGGGCCCTGACACAGACCTGCCGGGTCACCTTGGGCGAGTGGCTGCATCTGGGTTTGGGACAGCTTGTGGATTCATATGGCCAACTCGCTGTGTTTCCCTCCCAGCCCTCACCGCTCCTGGCATCTCCCCTAGCTCCTCTGGACACTATTGCAACACATTGAAGAGCAGCACATACACATCCACACTAAAGGGTGAGGGGCAGAAGGGTTTTGTGGCCAGAATAGGAAGCAGGACATCTTCTCAGACCATAGCAGTTCCCTTTACTCAAGACTTGGGGCCTTCAAGCCCAGGACCCCACCGATCTTCTCCTTTACACAGAAGACCAGATTGTTTGCTTTGAAATGAAATCACTTGAAAGTAAACTCTGGTTTTATTTGCGGAGGAATCTCTAAATCCCCTGTACTTTGCCCCTGGATAAAGAGTTACCTGCGAGCAGCACAAGATCTTTTATTACAAGAAAACAGTGGAGTGAAAAATAGCCCCAGTCTGTGGCAAAGCACAGGCAGCCACAAGGATGTGCCAGCAAACTATGGACCAAACTGTGCGCTTGGCTCTGCGCAACGGCACAACCCCTCTCATGTCGCAGGGATCCTCCAGGCCAACACTGGGTCATCTTCAGCCCTCAGGTCCACCCGTCTCATAGACATGGAAGCATATATTTGACAAAGTGAGACCCAAAATAACCCTGGAGGCCTTGAATGTGTAATGCCAGCAGCTCTGAAGCCAGCACTAGAGCACGCACTTACCTTGCAGCTCATTAAACTTGCAAAAGTTCCCTGCATCCGATACTACCATCCTCCTCCGTTGACCGCAAGAGCCTCCAGTTATTCACAGGAGGAATCTGAGCCCCGGGTGGGGGAGGGACAGTGGGATACTGCAGCAGGAGCAGCTCGATAATACATAATAACCTGACAAAACCTGCAACTAAACAGCACGAACTGCAAAGGTGGCATGGGCAGGGGGAGTGCTGGTATGCCTCCAGTGCCTATATAATGCAGGTGACTGGGTCATGTATGTCAGAACACAAAACCATCTCAGAAGGAGGTATTTCAATAGAGTAGAGTCCATGTTTGTCATTCCCCAAGTGACTCCTGGGATGGAGAAGGGAGACAAATTTGAGGGCCATCACTAGTGAAACCTCAGACATTCATAGGAGCATAGACAATAAGGGTTGAAGGGACCTCAGGAGGTCACATCTAGTCCAGCCCCTTGCGCAAAGCAGGACCAGCCCCAACTAGATCGTCCCAGCCAGGGCTTTGCCTAGCTGGGTCTTAAACACCTCCAAGGATGGAGACTCCACCACCTCTGGGGTAACCTGTTCCAGTGTTTTACTACCCTGCTAGTGAGAATATTTTCCAAATATCTAACCTTGCTGCAACTTGAGCCCATTGCTCCTTGTTCTGTCATCTGCCACCACTGAGAACAGCCCAGCTCCATCCTCTTTGGAAAGACCCTTCAGGGAGTTGAAGGCTGCTATTAAATCCTCCCTCCGTCTTCTCTTCTCCAGACTAAATCAGCCCAGTTTCCCCAGCCCGTCCTCACAAGTCATGGCCCTCAACCCCCGAACCATTTTTGTTGCTCTCCACTGGACTCTCACCAATTTGTCCACATCCTTTCTGTAGTTGGGGGGGCAAAGCATCCTTTGTACAGACAGCGATGAAGTACCTTGCCTGAATGCACACAGCAAGTCAGCGGCAGGGAGGCCCGCTCCTCCAGTTTGGGGACAAGAGCGGGGTTTAGGGGTATTCAATCCAAAAATGACAATCATAAGATGTGAAGCCAGGATAGCAGGGAAGGCAAAGGAGACATAGGGACAACCCTTTCATAGTGCTCCTCACCCTTCAGTCTCCCTTTAGTCTTCCTAAAAAGAGGGCAGGGTGATTTGCTTCATTTCAAAAAGAGAGTTGGGGGGGAACTGGGGCACAGAGCTCCAAGTACCTTGCCCACAGTCAGCCAGCAGGCCCAGGACTTCGCTCCCACTGCAAGGAGCAGCACAGGCCAGGTTCATGGGGCCAGCTGCCGCTCTGCAGGGAAGGACACGGCAGACAGCTGGTAACCTTCCTTCCTGATCTTACCGGATAAATGCATGAGCAGAGGAGAGGGGCAAACATCTGAATCAAAGTTTTGCCCCTAAAGACAAGCCCATGACCTTCACTAGGACCTACGTAAGCCATCTCCAAGCACTTCCAGACTAGCTAGCAACAGGGAGCATGTCACCCCTCACTGAAATGCAGCTACTTCTTGGGGAGAAACATGGCAGTGGCTTAACAGCTGACTGTAACACCTAGAAACTTTTTAGGCAAGGACGTTTAGAAGGATCCCGGCTCCAGTCTGAACCACAGGGAGAAGCAGAACGTCTTTTTCTCAACATAAATCTGGGCTGACTGCCGCGAGTATCGCTTCCTTCCCTGCATCTTTCCAAAGACAGTAAAAATTAAGGGCTCTTTTTTTCCGGGAACCTAAAAAAAACTCCACAACTCTCCTAAGACAAAGTCTGCGTGCAAAATATTTCTGTATCCCTTCCATCGAGGCCAAGGGTCAATCAAGCAGTAGCACTGACCAAACAGTTCTCTTGTTCCTGAAATCAGCACGATGGGTGTTTTGCATTTGCTGGGAACTGAGTCAGTGATATGCAATCATCGAAACACCGCGCACCACGGCGTTTGCCAACAGCCACTGAGACAGTGGTTCAGTGACCTTCGCTGTCTCCATTTCTGCTGCACGGGAGCCCTCCAAAGCACCCCGATGTGTCATTGCCTTACCAGAGGTTTACTGAATCCTGCCGGAGAAGTCCAAATGGAACCGCAGCCATCAGCTCAGATGCCTTTCATGGTGCCAGGCCACAAAGAGGCTTTTAAAGTAAGGGCATGTCCGTAATAGGGGAGTCGGACCATTCTCCTGGTTGGCTATTTATTTAATCTCTGTCCCGGGCTGAGTCACTAAGAAAACTCAGCAATAAATGTGCAGCTGAAATGGGACTCCTGGCAGAAAGGCTCACTGCACCTCACAGCCCACGTGGCAGGCCTGCTCTCACGCATATTCTATGGTACTCTCTGCCCAAGGTTTCAAAGTACGGTACAAAAGTATCTCAATGAAATCACCTCTGTGTTACAAAGTGACCTGCCCAAGTCCCACAGTCAGTCAGTGGCAGAGCTGGGAATAAAAACGGGGTCACCCAAGTCCCTCTCCAAGCACCAGGCGATTCTGTCTATAGTGTATTTTTGGCTACAGCGTATGAGCCAACCTCTGCCCTGGCATCAGCAATCATGACTCCACTGAAGTTACAGCAGGTTATGCCAAGAATGACTGTGGCCTCATCAGGATACAATGATCCTTTTAGCAACCCAGATACAACCAGTGAGCATCCTAGGGAGTGGACTCAACACTTGGCAACCCATAAAAACTGGAGATATAGCCCAGTCTTCTCCAGCAATTGTCGGTGTGACACTCAGGGAGGAAGACCCTGAAACGAGGTCAGCGGTAACACAGAGGGCTCAGGGAACCACTCTTCCTGTTATAGGCCAGTTCTTGAATCCTGATATCAAATTGCCTTTGAGTTGCTTGGTGGATTTGTTGCTTGCTGAGCAAAAGCATGAGAAGAAGCAATTCCCAGAGGTTCAGAACAATATCCCCACCTGCCTGGTTACACAGAAAACCTTGTATAAGCCAAGTGGGCCCCAAGGGCTCGGGCACCAGGGCTAAGTACAGACAGTCAAAGAGCACAAGGCTGAATCGATTCAATCTTTGCAGGTTAGTCTAAGCTGCGTAGATTGAACCGATAAGCAAGTGAACAGACATTCACTTTTGCTTCTGGAAATGCAGCTACATGCCTGCAGTGGCCCTGGCCAGAAGCCGGGGGGCGCTAGGGCACGCCACCCTGCTAACCTGGAGCAAACACCTTGGGCCAAAGTGAGCCACCCACCCTGCAAGGACTGGGTTTTCAGGGGAGGTGCAAAGCATCCTGGGATGCTGGGGAACTGAGAGTCAACTTGAATGTGGAGGGGATCCAGGACAGAAGTTCAATAAACCAGTTTAACCTAAATCAGTTAAGTCAGATACTACATCCATCTAAGTTTACCTTAAACCGGTTTCAGCCATTTTGAAAGCAGTTTAAGTGCACTGAGTTTCTATTGTGTTACAGATTTGAACCGGTTTCCAATCACTAATACTGGTGTATGTGTAATTTCTGTCCCTGTCAGAGGTAAAGGGAACAAACCCAACTCGTGATTTTTAAACCGATCTCCTGACCTGGAGTTGGGTCACTAGTCTGAACGGCTTGGGGAGTGCAACAGTGTCGGCGTATGGGAACCACAGCCTGTCGGCTCTGCACCCTTCATGGCCTTTCTGGGGCTTTTGACCATGAGCTGGGGGAAGAGTCCAGCTTCCTACCACCCCAACCCAAGAGAGATTCTCCAGCCAGCTTCCTGGGGACGCGCAAGCACCGGGGGAAGCAGCAAGGGCTTTCCACTAAGCCCTGTGCACTGGGCCAATGTCCCCTGATAGGAACAATTCCAGTAAAACCTTTCACAGCACTAGTAATTCAGCACCAACCGGTGTGGTGCCCTGTGCAGCCCGATCAGAAGCCCCAGCCTCCACCAGGAACTTTCTCGGGTCTACGTTAGGCATTGGATCAATGCAAACAAAAGAGACTGCAAAAAACCTGCCTCCCAGTAGCATCACACACAAGGGCAGCTACAAACAGGCAGCAGCTTTGCCCAAGCAGCTCCAGACCAGGAGCCAAGCAAGGGGGTAAGGGCAGAGAAAGGAGTGAGATGAAATGTTACAGCAAAGTGCACGCCGCTTTGATGAGAAACACACTCACTCTCCCAGAAATGATTGGGCTCTGCGCAAGAATCGCAGACAGTTTCCAGCAGGAGATCGGACTGGAAACACGATGGCCCCTTACGGCTCGGAGATCTATTCGTTTTGTCCGCTTCAGTAGGAAGAGAACAAACCAGCCCTTCCAAGGGAAAATCCTCCCTGCTCGACCGCACGGAAATACACTTCCCGCGCTACGAGCAGCAGCAGCAACACAGAAAATACCTGGAAATCAGCAACCTGGCAGGGGTAAAAAGAGCCCAGGCACCAGACTGGAAACACTGACAGGGCCTAATCCAGCCACCTGCCTGCAGCACCCTGGGCACCCCCTTTCATATCACTGCCCACCCCCCCATGCAGGATCGGGGCCTGGGACCTTGTCGGGGTGGACACAACCGCAGAGATGTGTGTGTAACACAATGCTGTTCTTGCCTGCAGGGAAAGTGCTGGGCAGGCTGGACGATCCCAAAGCGCAGCCCACGCCCCCGTCACTGCCTGCTTCTAGATCCTCGATTGTCTGAGACAAAACTGCTGCTGCAAACTATTGTTTCACCCCCAGCCCCGGGCACTCGTGTGTACATGGCTCCCACCCTTGTGCACACACCTGAGCATGCAAAACAGGCTGCCCTAATGCACGCCAGCTCAGGCAAGCAAAGGAAGCAGGACGGATTAGGGACCGCCTGCTCCAGCAGCGCCCTGGGAAGCGAGGGCTATGGGATACTCACAGATGCCCCCGACGACCCCGGCGATGCGGCACAGCCACCTATACCACCAGGTCATGCCATCATCGTTGCTGGAGTCAGCTGGGGCCGGGGCTGGGGCGGCCGGCTGGAACTGGTCCTCCTGGGAGCTCATGGTAGCCGGCTTCCTCAAGGGCCAGGAGCCGCCCCCCTTCCCACCTGAGGCAGAGCAGTGGAGGATGCTCCCTCCCTCCTGCCCTCTTGGTGACAGCCCCTCACAGGGGGGCCGCAGCTGCTGGGCCCCTCACCACCACCCCATGGAGCCGGCCTGGCCCCCGCCTGCCCCTCAACAGCTGTTCTGGTCCTGCTGACAATGGAGAGTCTGATCCACGTCGCCCTGCGCGCTGCATTGTGGGCCCCCCCCCTCCTTGGGGGAGGGCTCTGATGTCAGCCCCCTCGTTAAGCAGCCAGGCAGGCCGGGCCTTGGCTCTACATATTCATGAGCTGCAGCTCCCAGAGGAGGGGCTCGTTGCAGGTCTGCGTGCGTACACGGGAAGGCAGGCGCATTTGCAGGCAGGCATGTGGGGAGGCCTGATCCAAGTGCACCTGGGTGGATGCCTGCTCACAGGTGAGCTGCAGAGGGAGCAGCTGTGAGCCCCTGCATGGCCACACAGGAGCTCCCCAGTGCCAACCTGCAGCACTGCCATAAATATGAGCCTGGCTGAAAACCCATGCACAAGGCTCTGGGAAGGCTTCCCAGCTGTGCAGAGACTGCCGTGGTCATTGCTGCACTTCTGCTTCACGACGGAGGCTGAGTGACTTGCCCAGGTCCACTCAGCAGGTCTGCGGCAAAACCAGCAGAACCCAGGTGTCTGACTGCGCGGTCCCCTGCGTTCATCACTAAGTTGTCCTGTCTGGACAACCGTGCAGGAGAGGCAGAGGGCTGGGCAACAGGCCTGTCAGACCAAGCGAGTGCCTGCACAGAGATGGAGGAGGCCCAAGGTGTGGTCAGCAGGTGTGGGTTGCTCTTTGGTACAGTGCCACCCCCTTCACGCCAGCTCTTTCCAAGGGCAATAAAAAGTTCATTGACTCCCAGATCTAAGTTCAGTCATTTGGAAACAGGGTCCCTCCTTCAGGATTTAACCCGATGGGACAGTTTTGTAAAGCTGCTCTCTCTTGTGAACTTGGATCTGTGTGTTCCCATGGGGCTTTCACAATCTCCTCCTGCTCCCGTGGCTGCTGCATTTCTTAGGTAAACAAGGGTGTTTTAAGAAATGCAGGGAAACCAGTGAGGGCCCTTTCACGTTAGCCACTGGGGGAAAGTGCCTTTGAGCTGTGGTGTTGCCAACTCCTTCATCACAAGTCTCATGCTATCTGATGGTTTCTTAAGCCCCAGCTCCTGGTATCAGCTCATTACATTAGACTCTCAGCGTTAAGCGCATGTCATATGTCAAAGGCAAAAAATAACATCTCCAATGCTGCTTCTGCCCAAAGGCCATTTTGTACTCCAGTCTCCAACTGCTCCAGAGGTGATCTTCCTTAATGATGATGGAGGAGAGAGATAAAAAAAGGAAAGGTTTAGCTCTGAGCAAGAGAACAAATTGCAACAGCTGAGCACCAAAATCTCAGGTCTCAAGGGACGTTCTGCTGTTCGATGACAATGCTCCAGTCACCGGTCAATGTGTGATGGCAACAGATAGATTCTTACAATCATGCAGAAATTAAAGCAATGAGGCACTCTGGGAAAGATTTAGATTAAAGAGAGAAGGCCAAGTGCATTCAGATGAGGAGTGAGATCCTGGTTCCATCTCAGTCTATAGCAAAGCGTCCTCTGACTTCAACAGTGCTGGTTTATCCCCTGATGTTGTGGCAATTTACTTGTCAGAGACTCCCTCAGGTGGGAATGTAATAGGATCGGATATAGTGAAAATGGCCTTGATCCTCCTAGATTACTTGGTCTCTGCTGTAACATACTGATTTTCTTTCGGGACACATCCCTTAAGTTAATTCCAGTATATTTCCCATTCCCTAGTCCTAAAATAGGTATATAGTTTGCAAAATCTCAGACAGGTCTTACAGGGAGAGATACAGTTCTGTAGTTGTAGTCCCAAGAACCATACACAGTCTCTTTTGAACTCACAGGACTGTAGTGTGTCTAGTACTTGGAACCAAGGCAGGTGAGGAGGAACTGGATAGTGCCACTATTGTAGCTTCCATGCCTGATATGGTTACAAAACAGACTAGGATGAGAATACTCTCTCACTGCTATTGAAGCTCTTGGGTAAACAGGGCATGCTATGAAATGCAGGGAAGCAGATGATGAATCCACATGCTGGACACCTTTAACTCCAACTACAATAGGGGTGTAGGTGTTCAAACCACCTCCTTTCTGCCTCCTCTCCCAGTCACTGAGTGTAAAGCTGGAAGCTAGTGATTGGAAAAAATCCAGGCTTAACCACTAGAAACAGGCACCATGAAGAGATGGGAAGCTGTGAATCTGGGGCTTTGAGAGGGCATCTCAGAATCCATTTGAAAGCAGACAAGGAGAGGGCTAAAACTCCCTAAGGGGAACATCCATATTTCACCAGGTGTGAATGCAAGGTGCAGCCATTCCCGGCAGAGCTTCAGATCAGCACTGAAGAAGGCTGCTTTGCACAGGAAAGAGAGGTCAAAAGATTTCAGTGAGGTCAAAAGATTTTTTGGCCCAAAACAAGCCTGAGGTGAGCAGGTCTTTCTGCTGAAGAGGATTCTTCTGAAAGCAAACTGGAATCTTACCCGACCAAAGACAAGGGTGAATTTATCATTGCTCTAAACCACGTTTCACTGCTGTTACCACTGATCATACACAGCTTCCAAGGGCTTTCCAGTGTACCAGTGCACGTATTATTATATGTGCTGTAGTTTTGGAGATATTCATTGCTGATGTTCCACTGAGTAACCAGCCTTTCTGATGTCACGCTTAATTTCCCTGCTAATTGCAGCTTACAGTGTCCATCTGTTACTCTCCATGGGGGCAACTTTCATTATCTTTAGTCTTTACCAAGAGAGGGCTTGTACCAGAAGTAAAATAGATAATGAAAAACAAATGTGCCACATGGAAGGAAAAAGAGAAAACCTGAGAAAGGAGGATGCTCCTAAACCCTGTGCAGCTGACACACCAGCCCTCTCTCTTTTCCTTCCAACTTGCATTCCCCCCAGAGAAATCCCAAAAGCAACACCACCAATGACAGGCTGCTGAAAAGCCAGGAGAGTTCAGTGCACAGAAATGTGTAACACATAAGCAACTTTGTAAAGTCTGTCATCAATACAAAGCAGCCCTCTGAAACTTCTGGGTGGTAGAGCAAAGATGGGTCCAAAAAGCAGAGGTTGGATGCACCTGAGCAGGCAGATTTTGTCACCAAGGTTTTATTTTCCTAAATACCGGTATACAAGTGTTCCAGACATACAAGGCCTTATTTCTGTTTATATTTAAGACCCCTTTAGACGGTGAAGTGTGTAAAACTGATCAGGTCCCTTAACACTGCTGGAGTGAGACCCAGAGCCCTAAACTGTATGCTTTTTCCACACTGCTCATTCACAGCCGTGGCCAAAAGAAAAAATGCTTGTGTCTGACGGGAAAGTTTGTTCCCCTTCCCTAGCTGCTGTGATCTACGCTCCCATAAGGGGACACTGAACAGGAGGGGCCTCTTTCAAAAGGCAGCATTGCATCACATCACAGAAAGGAGATGTATGCAGCAGTGTCCCCAGCCCTTGGCTTCAGGGGACCCTTGGCTTAGTACTAGTTGGCAGAGGCTGAAAAGGAATCCACCGATGAGAGCTATTTTGTAATATCTGGCATCTCTAGACCACCTTGTGTTCCAGGACTGCAAAGGTGCTTATTAACCGAGTGCTCCTAGGAAGCAGGCAGAGACTATTATACCTATTAAACGGATGGTGAAAAAGAGGTGGGGAAGTTCAATGACTTGACTGGAGTCGCATGGTGAATCAGTGGCAGGGCTCTTCACTGCTCCCCTGCCTCTCTGGCAGAAACATCCCTGTTTCCCACTTATCTGGGCTCGGTGACCTGGTACTCTGCTCGGAAACTGCCGTGGCCTTCTGTGAAGTCATCGTGAAATTCAATTTCAGCCTGGCTCCCGGTTGACTCCCAAAAGAATAGCTGTTTCCCATGGAACACAACTGTCTTCATGGTGTTTACATCACGTATCTGAAGAGAGAGGGGAATGAGTCGCTACCACACGCTTACCTGTATCTTTCCAGCCAGAGAAATATCTGTGCTGGGATGGGAGCCCTAAGGGAAGACTAGCCAGGGGACCTGGTGCCCTGTAGGACAGGACGTCGCCCTCAGCCAAAGCTGGATGCTGGAACCTACAGACCTCAATAGGATTAATTCAAGTCTACACTGATGCCACTGAGATCAGAATCTGCCCCCATCAGGTTTGCAGTGAGCTTTGAACCCTGAATTTCAACACAAACTTGTGAGGACCTAAGAGGGGCACTGAGACCTTAGGTGTGCTTCACCTCAGCCTGGTGACTCACCAAGATATAACTGGAGTATGTGTGGTTGCTCTCAGGCCCCAGGTCCATGTAGAGGGCACGAATGGCAATGCGATGCCGTGGAGCCACGGTGATGAAGGTGCGACAGGCCACTTGTCTTCTGGGGTCAGGAGACTCTACAGGATTCACGATTTCTCCTCGAGAGCCGAACAGCTGCACATCGCAGTCTGTGGGGAGGGAGGAGGAGAGAGGGCAGGAAAGCAGTTGGAGATCTGGTGGTCAGAGCAGCAAGCAGCGAGGCAGCAAGCAGCGAGGCAAGAAAAGTAAATGTGCCCAGAAAGGGCATTTCAAATATGCATCTCAAGGCACAAGCAAGGCAGCTTATGTATCTCCATGGGTCTTACTGCTTCATGAAGAGGTGCGTCCTCTCCATGGACTGCTCTTTGGAAGCCTATGGGCCTTGCCTTCATCACCCTTAATCTAAAGCAGTAGAGCAGCATCCAGCCACATACCTTGGTAATGCTTTTTTGTTGCAGCTTTGCTGTTGTACTGAAAAACTATGCCGTTCCCCAGGAACACAAGACGCTGTCTCACTATCAGTGTGTTGGTCCTGGTGCTGAGAGACGCCATGGTCAGCTTCCTACAGCCAGTCCGCCACATCAGCCGCCCAGAAAAGAGCACGATCTCTCCTGTAATGAATGGAAAGTGGGACAGGGAATGCTGTATCCTCACAGCAGCTTCCTGATCTAACAAACTGCTGGAGGAATCAATGTTATCACTTCACCAACTACTGACACGCAACCACCCCTGGGTAGAACGCGGTACCTGTTTAACAGTACACAGCCGCGCTAGAGAGCAGTTTAAGGCACACAGCGAAGAAAACCCCCATATCCAAATGAAATTCAAGG